GACCCCAGAGCATCCCAGACAAGTGGCTGTCCAGGCTCTTCTTCAAAACCTCCAGTGATAGGAAGCAAGCTGTCCCACATCCTATTTCCAATCTGTAAACAGGTGAGTAAGGATGCGATGGCTCAGTGGCTCAGACGCTAAGCTTGCGGATCAGAAAGGTCAGAGGTTCAAACCCCTGGCGCCGCGTAACGGAGTGAGCTCCCGTGACTTGTCCCGGCTTCTGCCAACCTAGCAGTTTGAAAGCACGTTAAAAAAAAATGCAAGTAGAAAAATAGGAACCACCTTTGGTGGGAAGGGAACAGCGTTCCATGTGCCTTCGGCATTAAGTCATGCCAGCCACAGGACCACGGAGATGTCTTCGGACAGCGCTGGCTCTCCGGCTTTGAAACAGAGATGAGCGCCGCCCCCTAGAGTCGGGAACGACCGGCACAGATGTTCGAGGGGATCCTTTACCTTTAACCGGTGAGTGCTGACCTTTGCGACAGAGGGCAAGGCTGAATTTCAGGAGCTTTAACCCAAGGACAGGAACTGAAGCCTGGGGGGGGAGGGGGGGCAAGGCCCCAATTCGATAAAAAGGCCAGAGGCAGCAGGAGCCGCAGAGCCCTCTGACTCATCCCGGCCAGAGACTCGAAAAGAGAACGACAGCGTGACTCATCCGGGCTGCGTCAGTCAATCCCAGCAAAGTTGGTCAGATGTTTTTAAGATGTTTCTTCCCAAGAAGCGGCTGCTTTGAGGTTCCTCCGGAGCCACCCGGTGGGTTGGGCTGGTCCGTTATTTTTTATTTATCCATTGGATTGTTACCCCTCTTTTACAGGGGGTCCTCGACTTATGACCACAACCGACACGAGGATTTTCCTGCCGCTAAGCGACACAGTCCTTAAGGGAGTTTTGCCACAATCACTGCCGTTGTTAACAAAGTCACAGGGTTGTTAAGTGAATCTTCCATCCCCACAGACCTTCGCTTGTCAGGTTGCCAAAGGGGATCAACTGATCTCTGCATTTCTAAAGTGATCTGCCCTTGTTTCTTTCACCCCTTCTTAAATTCATTTACCAGCCTCTCGCCTACGTAGCGGGGCAAAATCTGGGACGTACAGCAGATCACATGTTTTGTGCAGAAAGGAGACCAAAAACGTGAAGGAGTCAGCAGGGATGGATATTTTAATTTAAACTATTTTAATTTAAAAAAGAAAGTATCTAGGTTTTTTTTCTCTCTGGAATTTTGTACCTCCAGTGATGGAGCCCCCACGACTTCTGGAGGGAAGTTATTCCACTCACTGTCAGGAAATTAATTCCTTCCTTCCTTCCTTCCTTCCTTCCTTCCTTCCTTCCTTTTTCTTTCTTCCTTTTTTTCTTTTTCTTTTTCTTTCCTTCCTTCCTTTCTTTTTCTTTTCTTTTTCTTTTTCTTTCTTTCTTCCTTTCTTTTTCTTTTTCTTTCCTTCCTTCCTTCCTTTCTTTTTCTTTCTTTTTCTTTCCTTCCTTCCTGCCTTCCTTTTTCGTTCCTCACCTTTATTATAAGTAACTCAAGGCAGTAGTACATTGCATTTTATATAATGATCAACTTCCAACAGAAACAATATCTTTTTAAAAAAAAAGAGAGACAGAAAAACTTTCCAAAACCCTTCAGTGCTCGCAGAAAAGGGACCTGGGGCCCAGACAAGCAAAGCCTCTCTCGCCTGCCCCTTCGCGGCCAGGGACCCACAACGTCCTTGGGGCAGATGGTGGGTTGTGTTTGTGTTTGTGTTCCAAAGGGATTACCTTTCGCGCACCCTCAGTTACTAAACCCGAGTTTGGCACCCCTGAAACTCCACTCCGCCCAAGCAGGTGGGCATCATCGTGGTGCCAAATGGACATCTGCTGGAGAGGGGAGACTGGGGATGAAGTGGTGGAGTTTTAGAAAATGATGGAGATGGAGGAGGAGGAGGAGGAGGAGGAGGAGGAAAGGCATAGAGAGGCAGGGGGGGAAAAAGAGAGAGGTGGAAAGAAAGGAACTGCAGCTGATTCCAGGCACAAAGAAAAGAACGAGCCGCGGAGAGAGAAGGATGGAGAGAGAGAGAGAAAGAGAGAGAGAGAGAGAGAGAGTCCCGCAGTGACCCCAAGGGAACAGAATGAGTCAGGGTAACCATATTGAGCAGGAAATTACTCACAGACGCTGCGTTCCTGCCTCTCTGTTCCCAAGAGAATCGGCCTTTTGTAAATGGTTCCTCTGTCAGTTGAAAAAAAAATTAAGGGGGGGGGGAGAGGAGATGGAAAGGGGAGGGGAGGAAGGCAAGCTGAGCCCAGCACCTTCCTGTCCGTGGCTTCCTTTCCAGCCAGGAAGGACTTAGCATTCCTGGCTCCCCCCCCCCCCCAAAGCCCCAAACATGCGATGCAAAGCTTTTAAAAATGTTTTGTTTTTCCTCTACGCCCCCTTCTCAACCCCCACCCCCTTACTGAAATTNAAACATGCGATGCAAAGCTTTTAAAAATGTTTTGTTTTTCCTCTACGCCCCCTTCTCAACCCCCACCCCCTTACTGAAATTATTCAATTGTTCTGTAATAAACGATTGTCAAATTATTCTGCCCTTCTGAAATTGGAGCTGTCCCTTCCCAAAACTTCCCCAAATTTAGGAGCTGGATTTATTTATCAATTTGTAAAAAAAATTTATTAGCCGCCCATCCCAACTGCAAGATTAAAACTGGGGAGAGGGGGCATGGACCTGGGGCGGGTGGGGGTTGAAAAGGGGGGTGTAGAGGAACAAATAAACAACAAAACCTTCAGAAAATCTTTGCATTGCATGTTTGGGGCTTCGGAGGGGGGAAAAGGCAGGAATGCTAAACCCTTCCTGCTTTTTTTTTTCAGGCGTGGAATTTCTGAGTGGGAAGGCAATCGACTTCTGGCCCAAGATTTGGGCCTGTTCACTGACACCCCCCACTACCCTGGGAGGGGTGTGTGAGGGGGGTGGAGGTCTGGTTTGGAAATGAGGCCAGAGGGGACCCCACAAGAGACAGGGAGATGCTCTTGCTTGGACAAAGGGACAAAGCCAGGGGGGCAGGAAGGAAGGAGGCTGCCTGGGAACCCAAGAGCTACCCCAGCCAGCTGGGGAGGAAGAGAAGGGAGGCTGTGGGTGGACTCTCATGGCCCCCACCGTAAGGAGAGCGTTGTCCCCCTTTCGGGGATCTCCAAACAGCAAAGCTGTCCCTGTGTTACAGAAGGACTGGAATGTGGTCATAGAAGATAGAATCCTTGGAGGTTTTCTAGGCCACCCCCCCTGTTAAAGCAGGGGATCCTATTCCAAGTCAGACAAATGGATGTCCAGTCTCTCCTTGGAAACCTCCAGTGATGGAGCCCCCACGACTCCAGAAGGCAACTTCTGTTCCACTGCTTGATTGTTTTCGCTGTCAGGAAATCCCTCATCAATTCTCCTCTCCTGGATTGGTTTCCGTCTGCAGCTTCTTGTCCTGCCTTCAGGTGCTTTGGAGAAGAGCTTGACCCGTCTTCTCTGCGACAGTCCCTCACGTCCTGGGAGGCAGCTCTCATGCCCACTCCCAGGCCCAACCCATGCAATCACTAGAAAAGAAATCTCGGTCCAAATGCCGACCCTACTGGCCAGGATGGTGGAAACCAGGAGAGTGAGAAGTTCCTTGGCTAACAGCGCTGTCTAGCAAAAGACATCTGCTGTCCATTCAGGAGTTTGGAATCTGCTGTTTTCCCCACCCGTTATGCAGCTGCGGGCTATGCGCTCTCTTATCTGGCCGCTCCCTAGGCGCTATCACTTCCCCCACATCTCCAAAGGTCGTCCCCACATACCATGACCTCACCCCCCCCCCACCTCCCCTCCCTAGGCTGAGATTCGGAGCAGAAAAACAAAACTCCCCTCCCGTCGTGTTGTGGGTGCTGCAATTCTACCGTTCTGCCAACAGGGGGCCGATATTGCGCTGGCAGGAAGGTCGCAAGAGGGGGGTCACGTGACCCTGGGAAAACCGTCATAAGTACCAGCCGGTTGCCAAGTGTCTGGATTTTGATCATGGGACCGTGGGGGTGCCGCAACCGTCAACGAGTGTGAAAAGGAGTCAGAAGTCGCTATTTCCAGTGCCGTCGTAACGTTGAATGGTCATTAAACAAGTGATTGGAAGTTGAGTACCTGCAGTGCCTCCCTCTTAAGCAAAGCAGACAAGGACAAGGCCGGTTTTAGGAATAAAACTCTCGCGGGAAATGAGGATTCGTTTCTTTTAAAGTCGAGCCTTTTTCATACAATCAAGAAAGCAGCAGGTGGAGCTACAGGAACACAATCGGCGTCTAGTCCACAGATTTCCTGAGCCAAAAACTTCAGGGGTTTCTTTGAGGTGGCTGCAAAAATTAGGGCCTCTATGAGTAGTCCTTGACTATTCATTTAGCGACCGTTCAAAGTTACGACGGCACTAGAGAAAGTGTTTTAGGACCGTTTTTCACGCCTACAAACCGTTGCATCATCGCCGTGGTCACCTGATTGAAGTTCGGATGCTTGGCAACTGGCATGTACTTACGACGGTTGCAGTGTCCCGGGGTGACGCGATCCCTTTTCGCGACCTTCCAGCCAAGCCAGGTTCACTTCACAACCTGGCTTAACAACTGCGGGGACTCACTTAACAACTGTGCCAAGAGAGGTCGTAAAATGGGAAACAGGCTCACTGAATTGTCTGGCTTAGCAACGGAAATCTTGGCCTCCGTGGGGGTGTCGTAAATCAAGGACTACCCGTCTCTGTCTCTGCCAAAGGAATGGAAGGAAGGCGAAACCCCTCACCTCTGTGATGAAGCGGATGCATTCGAGGAACATGTAGTCCTTGTGGTGCTCGTTCACCACCCTCTCATCCACAAAGTGCCGAGGTTCCACGTTGGGGTGATCTGAAAACAGGATCTTTTCAGAGCGGGTGGAAGTTGGACCCTGGAGGAGACTCACTGGAGTCTGGCAATGCCCCTCGGCTCTTCAGAACGGACCCCAAACAGTAGAAACTTTAAATCAGGGGTCCTCAAACTACGGCCCGTGGGCCGAACAAGGCCCGCCAAAGCCATTAATCCGGCCTGCGTGGGACCACGAGGCGGCCCCGCCCACATCACACCGTCTACCCGCTGGCCCCGCCCACCCTCTGCGCATCCCATTTTTGGCCTTCCTGGCCTCCAGAAAGAGAGACAGAGAGAGAAGAGAGGAAAAGAAAGAGAAAGGGCGAGAATATCCCTGCTTACCAATCAATTGAGAGCTTCCCCAGATGAAGGGGAGGAACTGAAAGTCATCCAGACCCCAGACCCCTTGGCTGCCAGCTGGCTCCATCCGGTAGGTTTTCTGGAGTTTCCGCATCACCTCCAAGTACCTGAAACCAAATAAAATGGGACGGGTCAGGATCATATATAGCAGCTGACCTCTGACTCCAACATAGCCATGAAACGAAACTCCACGGGAACTCAATGGGAAAAGCCCCTTCCCCCCCCTTAGACCCCTGGCGGCAGAGGAAGCAGAGAGAGAATTTGGGGAGGGTATTTGGGATCTCAGTCAACGCCATAACACGGGCAGAACCTGGACGTTGGACTAGAAGACCTCCAAGGCCCCTTTTAAAAAAATGGCTATTCTCCGTTCTCCGTTCACTCTTCAGGAAAGCAGATCTTCTGTCTCTCTCTCCCCTCGCACAAGAAGGCCAGAGGGAGCGTTCGGAGAGGAAATGCTATCCGCTACCTTTCTTCAAAGTGGTGTTCCCAACTCCGGCGGCTTTGAGATGCGTGGACTTTTACCTGTTGAACACTTTGAAGACAATGGCCAGCTGATCGTCCAGCCGGAGGACGCCGGTTTTGCAAAGGCAGCAAAGGAAGGCAGCGAAGGCCGCTTCGTGGCCTGTGGGGAGAAGGGAGATGCTCAGGATGAGGGACAGTTTGGTCTAGTGGTTAAGGTTAAGGCTGGAAGTAACTTTTTAAACGTTACTTTTGTGTGTTTGTTTTGTTCCTTTTGTATATCTGTCACTTTTTAAACTTTCTCTACGTCCCCTTCAGGTTGTAATTTTGTATATTTGGATTAGGTACTTTTGAAAGCTAGCAACAAAAAAATTAAAACAGTCATTCCAAACATTTAAGGAGCCTCTGCACGTGTGCAAATGCTTGGAGCTAATCTGGGTCTGTGAACCCCAGAATCCAATTTAACATTTCCAGAAAACTCATTTTTTTTAAAAAGCCTTCACACAACGCAGTTAAACCTGGGTTTAGCTCGCTCCGCTGTGACGTCATACAAAATGACAGTCCCATTTGTGGGTCAGGCTGGCTGGAAATGATTATTGCTTGTACATTCAGGAAAACTAGGCTGGGCCACAGCTACGTAAAAAGTCACAGCAGAAGGAAATGTGAGTTTCGTGTGTGCGTGCGTGTGTGAATAAACAGCCACAGAGTGGTCAATGCCTGGAATGCACTACCTGACTCTGTTGTTACGTCCTCAAACCCCCATAACTTCAACTGTCTACCATGAACCTCACCCCATTCCTAAGAGATCCGTGCATAAGCGCACCAGCGTGCTTCCCGTCCCCATCCTACCATCCCCACTTATCCGTATCCATTTCCTGTGTTGGTGTCCATGTTCATACTTATACCATCATCTCGTACTTGTTGGGCAAACTGATTAATAAATAATAAATAAATATCCCATGTGGCTCCTGCTCCCTCCGAGCTAAACTGAGGTTCATGTCTGAACTACAAGAAGCAAAACAGGAACCGAGGCTGGAGGTAACCAGGATGAGAGCGCCGACTGGTGGCTGATTGCGGCTTTACGGCGGCTTCTCCGGCAGTCCTGCAGCCTTGAATTTTCCATGCGTTTTTAGAGATCAACTGGCTTCCCAAAAGTCCCTTCTCCGTGTTGCTAGGTTGCAACAGCAGTTTTGTAAAGTTTCTTCTGGGAACCTTTGCAGAAGGCAGGACAGCGGAAGAGAAGCGGGAAGGGGCCTTGGAGGTCTTCTAGCCCAACCCTCTATGCCGCTGGGGCAAATGGCTGCCCAAAGCTCTTCTTAGAAGCCTCCAGGGACGGAGCACCCACAATTTTCTAAGCATCAGAGCTGGGGGCTACCGGGGGAAAAAAATCTTGATTTAATTTTGCCACGCTGTGCCTGTTTCGATCGGGGGCTTGCCTTCCAAGATGCAAGGCAGAAACTGCCCATCTTCTTAAATCATCATCACCAACTATTATTATGGCTGCTCATGTCTTCAGCCCATGTCTGGAGTTTTCAAACACAATTCCACTTCCTCGGGTCACTTTTCTAGTTTTCAACTTTTGATAACAAGGATCACGTTGCTTGGCAATGAAACACTTATGCAAGGAAACGGCCCTGCTCCAAGAGCATCGGGACCCCAAAGTCCTCCCCCTCCCCCCCAATCCCACCCCCTTCTAGCACTGATGATGTTACCTAGTTGGGTCATGAAGCGCCTGCAAGAAAGTCACCATGTTCAGAGAGCGCCAAGGACCTCAAAGCCAGTTATTACTCATGCCCACAAAGCCATCTGCCACACTGAAGGGCTGTCCTCCCTGGGGGCCAGACACCCACTCCCACCATCCCCAGGAGCTGACCACAGTTGCTTAGAACAGTGGTCTCCAACCTTGGCAACTTTAAGACCTGTGGACTTCAACTCCCAGAGTTCCTCAGCCAGCTTTGCTGGCTGAGGAACTCTGGGAGTTGAAGTCCACAGGTCTTAAAGTTGCCAAGGTTGGAGACCACTGCCTTAGAAGATGGGCAGCTATAAAGGTTCCCCTCGCACAGATGTGCCAGTCGTTCCCGACTCTAGGGGGCGATGGTGCTCATCTCCGTTTCAAAGGCCAAAGAGCCAGCCCTGTCCGAAGACGTCTCCATGGTCATGTGGCCGGCATGACTCAATGCCGAAGGCGCGTGGAACCCTGTTCCCTTCCCACCAAAGGTGGCTCCTATTTTTCTACATGCACTTTTTAGGTGCTTTTGAACTGCTAGGTTGGCAGGGACGAGTAACGGGAGCTCACTCTGTTACGTGGCGCTAGGGATTCGAAACGCCGACATTTCTGATTGACAAGCTCAGCATCTTAGCCACTGAGCCACTGCATCCCTGTGATGGGCAGCTATATAAATGCTCTTAAATCAATAGACAGGTACCTGTGCCATAGTCGATGCGAGTCGAATTGCCAACGGACTCTTTCAAGTACACAGCCACCTCGGGCACGGCATCCGCTTGCTGTTTGGGGATGACCGTTGCCACCAAGGACTCCGCCCCCTACGATTTAGCCATAAACGAGCAATTAGAGACCCCATCACTGCAATCCAGGACGAGGAATAAATCTACAAGCAGAGCGGGCCCCTCCCCTCCCCCCTCCAGATTATTAGTATCCACAGCAGCCAACCCCAAGCAAACGACAGGTGTGTGGACCTCAGGCACCACCATGGCTCTGGTGGCACCTGGCCGTGGCTAAGGCTCCTAGGAAATGGTGGCTGGCTGAGGAATTCTGGGAGTTGAAGTCCACAAGTCCTAAAGTTGCCAAGATTGGGGGGCCCTGCCCTAAGAGAAATAAGCTGGCCACCAGACTGGAAACGAAGCTCACAAATTAGATTTTTTTAAAAATATCCTTGTTTTGCACTTGAGCCCCTAAACAAGGGGTTGGGCTAAACGGCCTTGAAATGTCCTTTACAACCTTGGGAGGCTTTTCGACCTAAACTGACTGGCAAGGCAGTGTTTACCTCTGCCCCTCTCCCCATGGGACTTTCTGCCCCCTCTCTTTCAGCCCTGCCCCCAGCCTACCTGGTCCAGTTTTCCGTACCACGTCCGGAAAGCTTTGTTCCCAAAGCGAGAAGGCTGATCCATGGGGGGCGTCTCATCGATCCACCGATCCAGTGTGTTGAGGAGCGCGACGAGCTTTTCGATGGGCTGTTGGGAAGAAGGTACAGCTGTCGGCGGTTAAGCAAGCCTTGAAACGGAATTCACACAGGGCACCCTCTTCTGCCAGGTTTTCCGCTTGATAAGGCCACGCTGGGAATGCTGCGTGCAATTCCCATCACCGCGGTGCAAGGAAAAGAAGATGCTGAGACCCTGGAAAGGGTGCTGAGGACTGCAGAATCAATCCTGCCCAAATTCTAATTTGCAACTGCAACATTGGAGCATCTGAAAGGGGGAGGAGGGAGGCAGCCAGGGGAGGAAAACGAAACCAAAAGAGGAGGACAGGAAGCACAATTGCCTACAACTCAAAATATTTCTGCTTGGAAGGATGCCCTCCTTCCTCCCTCCCACCTGCCCTTCTTTCCTTTCTTTTTCCCTTTCTCCGTGTTTTCTCCTGCTCATCTCCCTTCCTTTCTCCTTTCTTTTCCCTTTCCCATTTTCCTCCCTCCCCCTCCTTTCTTCTCTTTTTTCCTTTCTTTCTTCCCTTTTCCTTCTCATCCTCCTTTCTCCTTTTCCTCTCCTTTTCTTCTCATCCTCCTTCGTTCCTTCCTTTCCCACTGTCCTTTCTCTTTCCTCCTTTTCTCCCCTTCTTTCCCTGTCACTTTCCTTCCTTCCTTCCTTCCTCGATCCTCCCCTCCTTCCCTTCCCCTTATATACTCCAGTCCTAGGCTTGTTTGAGCTCGATCAATTAATTCACCAAACCTTTCCCTTCCAAACATACAGAAGCCCTTGGGGAAAAAATCCTCAGCGTGGAAAGGTGGGGAAGAGAGGGGGGGGAGAGAGAGGACAAAGATAGCAGCGGTTCCCTCGACTTTGCCAGAGGCGGCTTCCTTCATGAGAAATCCTCCAGGCCCTCGGGCCAAAGTTCGGCCATCACTCACCCTGCCATGTCAAACGGGAAACTGTCAGGCCCACCAATTTTTCCCAGCCCTTCAAGCAAGAGATGAGCGGAAAGGAGTGGGGGGAGGGAGGGTCTGCAATTCAACCAGCGCAGCGTGCGAAACAGAGGAAAAACCCAACTGAGGAGAACCAGCACGGACGGAGGCTTGCAACAAACGTCAAAAATAAGTTTTGTTCAAGGTGTAAAAGCAAGAAAAAAAGTCAAGGAAACCATCGGTCTGCCAATAGGAGAACGTGGCAAGGAAGCGGGGGGCAGCGGGGAGAAAGGCTCAACCTTGTAAAAACTGGCAGAGGACGGAGGAAGCATTGGCCGGCGAAGAAGAAGGTTCCCTCTGCAGCCACAGCTCTGTTCCTAACCCTGGTTCAAAGCTCAGGGCAACCAAAGGCAGCCGGTTTCTGCACCGTCTCCCGTTTCAATGGGTTCAAAAGACCCCCCCCCCTCGTTAAAGGCCTCAGCGGCCTCGGGGTCATTAGCGTATGGGAAGGGCATGGCTGTCGTCAGCCTCCCCCAGGAACAGGGTACCCCAGATGCCTCTGAGCTCTCCTTAATCAATTTCTGCTGTGGATGGATTAGCAGCCGAGATTGGTTTGCCTGCTGGGGCGGCCGCTCGGCCTGTCTGTCTGCAGCTGAGATCCTTTCCCAAATCTCTCTTTCAAGCAAGGGGAGGAATCCCTCTCTCCTCCTTCTCCCCCCCCCCTCTCTCTCTTTCCCTCTCTCAGGAAAGGAAGGAAGGAATGGGAGCCCGTTTGGCATTAGGCTGCGTGTGCTCCGTCACTGGAGATTTTCAAAAACAGACTGGGCAACCAATTGACTGGGGAGGCACCCCGTGATCAGGGGGTTGGACTAGAAGACCTCCAAGGTCCCTCCCAGCCCTATGACTCTATGAGAGGCCAAAGCAAGGCCTACCTCCGAGACTTTATATTCGCAGGTCAACTTCTTTCCCTTGATGCTTTCGTTCAAGGTGAGGATGAAGCCAATGTAGTCAGCATACGCCTGTTCAAAAACACACAAACACACACAGTCACACCGGGTTAAGAAACCGGCAGTGCAGGTAGACCTCGACTCACAGGAGTTCATTTCGTGACCATTCGAAGTTACGACGGCCCTGAAAAAAGCGACTTGTGACTGTTTTTCACACTTACGACCGTTGCAGCAATGCCCCCCCCCCCGGGTCAGGAGATCAAAATTCAGACACTTGGCAATTGGCTCATATTTATGACGGTTGTGGGGGGGGTTGTCACGTGATCCCCTTTTGCGACCATCTGACAAGCAAAGTTGTTCACTTACTAGCTTAACAACGGCCGTGATTCACTTAACAACTGAGGTGAGAAAGGTCGTAAAATGGGGCAAAACTCGCTTAACCAATGTCCTGCTTAGGGACAGAGCTTTTGGGCTCAATTGTGGTGGTAAGTCGAGGACTACCTCCTGAGAGGTTAGCTTTCTACATGCAAGGAAGAGCCCTCACAATCGTCCTCGTGGCCCTTTGGGCCCCCGCATCTCCTGCCAGAGCCCAAAGAGGGCAAGCAGAGCTCTTGGCCCCTACCTGAGAGCGCTTCCACTTGGCCATGTCGGGAACCATGTTGATTTCCTTCCTGGGGATCATGAACGGGGGTTGGGCCGGAGGAGGCTGCGTCTCCTCCAAGGCTTCTGGAAGAGGAAAAAGCAGATTAAATCACCACGGATCTTGGAGCCTTTCAACTTCCTTCAGGGGAGGAGAATTTCTTCAGAGGGTTTTTACATCCGTCTCTCAGCCGAACTGATTGCCTAAGTGAGATGCAAGGAGGGAAGTACAGTCCAAAGACGGTAAACGCAGGAGATTAACTGTTATCACCCAAGAGTTAAAATCCTCGCCATCCCTGTTCCTGAACTGTTCTGATGATTAAATCTGCAGGCAGGCGGAGAGAACCGTGTGGGCCCAGATGCAGTCAAGTGAAGGTTTGAAAATAAGGATTGCATTTCACTGAGGAAATGTTTCAGGTTTCTTAACAAGGAGAAGAGAGGAAAAACATAATTAAATCGCTGCAAAGCCCCAGAGAGACATCGCCCATGATGCAAAGGGAGCGCTCTTGGTTTGGAGATCCCTCTTTCAAAGCCACACGCTTCCAAAAAGCGCCATAGAAATTTGGCAGACTTCAAAGGAGGGCCTACGCTAGTGTCCCTGAGATTGGAGTTGTCGCAGAGTTGTGTGAAAAATGCACAACGATTAGCTGGAGTAGCAGCAGGATTCCAACTGGCTTCCTGGCCTCGGTATGCAGAACAACAGACTTGGAAGGGACCTTGGAGGTCTTCTAATCCAGCCCCTTCCTCCGGCAGGAAACCCTAAACCATTTCAGACAAATCGTCGTCCAATTTCCAGTACCTGGAGACGGGAAGAACTGGAGAAGATAATCAAATACTAAGGCCTAAAGATAGAAATAGAAGGACTGTGGCAAAAGAAAGCAAAGAATAAGCCCCTTTGGCGCAATCCCGAAACATCTGGAGCATCACTTGAACACCATCGCCATTGACAAAACCCGCATCGGTCAACTGCAAAAGGCAGTTTGATTTAGAACAGCCTACATCCTGCAACCTAACGCCATGAAACAGCATCTGCCTATGACTCCATAGGTGGGCAAAAATGCCAAATCCAGTCTGAACTGAATTGGCTGTGTGATGAACCATAATAATTTATTATTTGAACGCTTGGAACACCATCGACATTGACAAATTCACCCTCAGTCAATTGCAAAAGGCAGTTTTATCAGCAGCGGCTTACGTCCTGCAACGATATTTGTAAACCCATCAAACAATTACATCTGCCTCTCCCAGGTCCTTGGGAACGTCTCAACAAGTGAACAGAAATGTCAATTCTAGTCTGAACATCTGGCAGACTGTGCAATGGACCACAATAATTTATTACCTGAACATATGAACAATATCAGCATTGACATCTGTCAATTGTAAAAGGCAGCTGGAACAGCTGATATCTTTATATCTGTAACACCATCAAAGAGCCACATCTGTCTATGCCAGTTGCTTAATAATAGGTGAATAAAATGGTAAATCCAATCTGAACATCTGGGTGACTGTGCAACGAACCGCAATGATGTATTATTTGGACATTTGAATACTATCAGCATTGACAACATCCCTATCAGTTAATTGCAAAAGGCAGCTTTGCTTGAAACAGCTTACAACCAATTTCGCTGTATACATGATGTACAATGACAATAAAGGCTGTTGTTATTTTTATTATTATTATTATTATTATTATTATTATTATTATTATTATTATTATTATTATTATTATTATTATTATTATTATTAACTTTATTCATTAAGCATGAAACTCAGTCATTCAAAACATTCATTCATGAACATTCAAAAGCGCATCACAAATACCATTGACTGGTGCTAATGGTTGATACGGGTTGCTGNGTGGATTTCAATTCCCAGAATTCCCTAACCAGCACGCTTTAAGAGGCACGGACTTCGATTCCCAGAATTCCCTGGCCATGTTCACTTCTTCCACGTCCCACCTGACAGTCCACCGTCTCGCTCCCCGGCGACAATCCGTGCTTGGAGTGCTTGGAGCTGGCATTGCAACTGCTCCAACTTCTGGCTGGAGGACTTCAGGGCCGTCTCCACGTGGGCCAAATTCTTCTTGTGTTTGGTCGCCTTTCGCAAATTCTCAGCCCCTTCCTTGATTTTCAGCTCTTTCTGGATGGCCCGGCGGACCGATTCCTTTTCGGATTCCAGTTTCTGCTGGATCCCTGATGGATCTGGGACCTTCAGCCGATTGTACCAAAGGGCAGATAACAAAAGGCAAAATTCAGAAAAAAAAGAAATCAAAACACAAATAAACCAAGCTTTGCTGAATCCTTGTATGCCGCCTAGAGCCACTATTCCCAAGATGGGTAACGATTTAAATATGATAGGAACAGGAATGAAATAAGCCCAAAGCTTAAATGGCGGAAGCATGAATTGAAACACAAATATGAAATTTAGGAGGCAGAAATACGACCCCAAAAAAACAAACACAAAATGTAAAAGGCAGAAACACAAAGCAAAACACGAACGCCAATCTTGAAATGCAAAAACACCAGCTGAAACACAAACTCAAAACCTAAGGAAGAATATTAAACCTGAAGCAATTAATAAAAAGATTTGGCTTCTGAGCTATTGCTAGAAACTTTGACCATTTTTAGAGTACATCTCCAGATTAGTTCTGGCAGAAAGAAGGTGGTAATTTTTCAATTTTCCAGAATTTCCTTGGATTCTTATCACTGGGTTCAAGAGCACCAGTGCCTGAATGATGGGGCTTGACATTACAAACCACGCTTTGAAAAAGGAGATTAGGAACCAGGGAAAAATAACATTTCATTTCGTTCAAACTGAAGTTAAAGTATCCTTTAAGATAAATGCTCCCCATTGTCACATGAGCAACAATTCAGAGGCTTGGCAACTGGCGTGTGCTTATGACGGTCGTATCGTCATGGCTGATTCCCCCTTTTGCAACTTTCTGACGATCCAAATCAATGGGGAAGCCAGATCCACTTAACAACCATGGGACTAACTTAAGCACTGTGGCAAAAACGGTTGTAAAAAGGGAGAAATGTTGCACTCCATTGTGGGCGTAAGTTGTATCCCGGAAAACGAAATTAAGCTTCCTTAATTTAATTTAATTCTTAATTGAGGAGGTGATGGCTGAATAGTGGTGTGTGATGCTTCCCTCTTTTGCATTTCAAGGCGAAAAGGGGCGAAGGGGAGGGGGCACGCGTGTGGCAGTGTGATATTCCACAGCTCAAATACCCCAGCCGGAAATCTGGGAAGGTTTCCCGTCTCTAAACAAAACAACTCCTGGAAACTGGACAAGAGGCAGGGGCAGGAAAATCTCGCCCAGCCAGGAAACAGACACGGGATTTGGGAGGAAACGCAGCTCAGCTGAAGGTTAAGGCAGGGCAGAGGGGCTGAGATGGCCATGGGGTGGGGGCTTCCCAACAATCAAAGTCAATGGAGGGGGGGAGGAAGAATCAGACTCACTTAACCACAATTAATTAAAAAGCGATTCACAACTCCCTGCCTAGCCTAACACAAACGCGCATCCAAGCGACCCTCGGCTCCACCCCACAGGCCAACCCCGACAGAGCCAAGGTAGAATCCTTTGGGCAGCAGCCCACCCCTCTTTGGGGGTCTTTGCAAAGGAAAGGTAGGCGGGGAAGGCGGATTAAAGAGACACGCGCACCCGGCTGCAAAGCCAGGGGCATCCCCTGGAGACCCCACTCCTCGCAGGCCCCCAGCCACACAAAACGCGCGCCGAGCGTCGGAATCCCCGAGTGGTTTTACAAACGCCCCAGTTGGGAAGTCGCCTCCCCGCTCTCCCCGCCGGGTCCCTGGCGGCGTGGGCGCAGCAGCAGCAGCAGCAGCCCCGGCCGGCGAAGGGAGGCCGCTTTGCGAAGGCGCACCTGTGCGGCAGGGCGCCTCCTGCGCGCTCACCTGTTGGATTTGCCCGGCCGCCATCGCCGCCGCCGCCGCTGTAGCCCCCGGAGCCCATCCGGCGCCGGCGGGGAACTTTTTCAAACTTGGCCCGGCCCCGCGGAGGAAACGCGGCGCGCATCTCGCGCCCTCTGCTGGCTCTCCGGGCCGGACGGAGCCCCGGGGAGGAAAGCTCGCCGTCTTTCCCGAGCCTGGCTGCGAGGGCGCAACGGCCCTGGCAGGGAGACCCAGGGAGGTCGTGGGGATGCTGCCCCCGCTCCGCGCGCCCTGGCCAGGTGTTGGCATGTTGGCAAGTTTCGCCTTCTGCTCCCGTGGGTCTGGGGCGGATGGTTCTTATCGGCTTAGCCCTCCCCCCCCAAAAAAATTCCTTCCCCCTCCCTTGCGATTTATAGCAGGATGGAAGATGCTCGAGATGGCACATTCCTTCAACCTTGTTTTATTTATAAAAATAGAAATAAGTACAGCATCCCAATAAACTTCGTTGCAATAGTCTACTATATATCAGGGTCATTTTTCAACCTTTATTTTCTTGTGCCCAATAAAATAATCCCTCCCAGTACATGGATTGCTTTAATTAAATTTTTTTGGGGAATTTGGGCCTTTCTTTTAGTTCCCACTTTTCGAATTTTTGGTGCAGTCTCAATCCACCTTGTAAACCTGCTTTCAATCTTGGGAGAAACAATTTTCATTGGGTTCAACTTGCAATGCAAATGTTGTAATATCCAATTTGTATTCAGAGGGATCTCTTAATTGGATCCCGTAAACTGTTTGGGCCTGAATTTGTTTCATCTCAGAACCAGATTTAAAATAAGTATATTTTTAAGGCAGTTACTCAAGAGGGCAGAAAAATCCTGTTATTCCAACAGACAAAACGTTGTTTTTCCCCCTTTGAGTAAAAAGATGCTGTCAAGAAATCCAAATAGAAAATTTGAGTTTGGCTGCACCAACAGGGACAAGGCGCATTTCATTTTCCAGCAGGCGATGCTTACAATTTCAAAATTATAGATGGGATTTAGACTTCTTTGGTGGATTTAGCAATGCAATTTCTCAAGTGGAGTTTAATTTGCTTGTCTAGTTTGCAACTGAAGCGAATNGCATGTTGCATGTTGCCTGGCATGCAAACGACACAGGCCGGTGCACAAAGCCCCCTCCCAGCCTCCCAAACGGGTGGAAAATTGGAGAGCAAGGGTCCCCTCCCCGGTTCAGGCATGTCCTTGCAGCGGAACACAAGGCATGCCCACAGCTGCCCCCTCCCCCTGCAAGCAAATGGCTGCAGGAAATGCAAATTGTTCCAGCTTTGCCATCATTAAGCCCTTCTTGCCCCATTAAAGGCAAAGCAGAATCAAACCTGGGGAAGGGGGGAAGGCATTTATTTGGGGCGGATTCCAGACACACAGCACCCCACATCCTCTTCCTCAAAATTGATGCCGGTGGCTGCCCACTAGCAATGGCAGCTGCTTTCTTGGTGCAGCCTCACCAAACGGTGTGTGTTTGTGCCATCCTCTGAACCAGGGCTAATTGCACCCCGGTTGACTCAGTCTGGCGCTCTGGGAATGCACAAGCCACCCGTGGGAAGCGGCAGAGCAAAGGCTGGGCGGAGAGAGGCAGTGGGGAGCTAATTGGCGGCTTAAATGTCTTGCGTGCCAAGTTTTCCAGCCGGGCTGCTGCCAAACCCCTCCCTCGGCTATTTTCCCCGTGTCTTTTAATTCCCGAGAGGCAGAAAAGCAGAGCTGTAAGGGAACTTGGGAGGGCTTCTAGTCCAGCAGTCACCAACTGGGGGGGTCCGCGAAAAATGTAACTCAGGGGTCCTCTAACTACACCCCCCTGGGACGGATACGTGCAATGAACGCTTGTGTTGCTGCAGAGAGTCTCCTCCTTCGGGGTCTTTTTGTGGGGGGTCGGAGATACGTGACACACCGACACACACACACCCAGGACGCTGTAACCGTGCTAAATACATGCCAGTTGCTTAAACCAGTGTTTCTCAACCTTGGTAACTTGAAGATGTCTGGACTTCAACTCCCAGAATTCCCCAGCCAGCTGGTGGAAGCAGGCAAGGAAGTGGCCACACGGGAACGGCCCGAGATCTTCTCCAAGAGGCCTTCACAGCCTTCCAAGCGGACTTGAAGGCTACCTGGAAGCCAAAGAGGAGAGCCACAAAGGATGGGACAACTTTGTACCCAAAGAGATACAATCCCAGGTTCGTAGAACGCAGGGAGCCTAGAGCTGGAAGGGACCTTGGAGGTCTTCTAGTCCCACCTCAAGGCAGGAGACCTTAAACCATCCTGGTCAAAAGACCGTCCACTCTGTTTTTGAAAACAGTGAAACAGTCTAAGCCAGTGTTTCTCAACCTTGGCAACTTGAAGATGTCCGGACTTCAACTCCCAGAATTCCCCAGCCAGCGAATGCTGGCTGGGGAATTCTGGGAGTTGAAGTCCGGACATCTTCAAGTTGCCAAGGTTGAGAAACACTGGCTTAAACGATCACTTTGTTCATCGACAAGACTTTGTTGCTCTCACTGGTGAAGCTGGGTGATGTTCTGGCACAGACACAAAATGTGTTTTCAGGGACGTCTCTTGTTAAAAACGCCTTAAGAGAAGAAGGGACTGAAAGATTGTTGCTGGGCTGGTTGAGGTGGGGAACCCGGCTGGATCTTGTAAAGCAATGTGGGAAGTTACCACCCAGCCCTCTCGCAGAAAAATGAAATATCCTAGGAAATATTGAAAAGGCAGAATATTTCTCTGGATGTGAAAAGAAAGAAACAGGCTTTAAAAGACAGAATAGTTGCCTGTAGCTTCCTGCCCATCCCCACTTTTGTCAATAGGCCATTGAGAAGGCCAGGCTAGCCCACTTTACATAATAAAGACTTCTCCACTGCAGCTGCCAGGGGGAAGGGATATTACTCAACTCTCCACATGGCATCTGAGAACTCATCTATACCTGGATTCAAAACACAGCCTAGAGAGTAGTTCCCTGCATGGCACCATGGGAGTCTGGCAACCAATCAGAATACATTTCTTACACAGGAACAGGAAACAGAGAGGTGGGACTAAGCAGGGTGTAAAAAGCCTAGCAAGCCCCTCCCTCAGCCCTTCTCTTCTTCTCCACCAACATTGAAGCATGTGGTCACCTTTTCTGTTCAGGGCTCAAGCCATGTGGCCCTGTCCAACAATAAACCATCTTTCCAACATGTCTCCAGTGTGTTGTAATATAGTTCCTTGTGTAGGTGTGGGTCACCCATGGCCCAGTTCATACCAGGGCATGCAGAGCCACACTGAACTACATAGGAGAAAACAAACTCCTAAAATTCCATAACATCCTGACAGTTCATAACATAACATCCTGAGATGTGCCCTACCAATGACGCCCAGGATTTGACCATATATAGACAGAACTTCCCTGAGCAGTAGATTAGAAATTGTACTTTGACAGGCTGTCTTTAATCACATGCTGATTGCTCCTCCTGCCTTTGTCCTATCTCAATAAAAGGGGCTCTCAGACCCCCAATCTGGGTCGCTCCATCCCGAGAAGGATTGTGTCCTGTCTTTTCTCCACATTGGCCTCATGGACGAACCACGGGAACGTTACACCAGTGTCTTCTTCCCCACTTGGAGCTGAACCCAGTAAAGGACATTTCTTTCAACAGCAAAAACCCTCAAGACCGTCAGTTTAAAAATCCTCCTGTATTTTACAACAGAAATAACTTAAAAGAGGAGAAACGAAACGTCCCGGCAAAGGGCTTGCGTGCAAAAGAACCCCGTGCCGTTCCGGTAGCTCTGCACCGACGGATGAGGCCATCTCGTTTTCCCCCCATCGTCGGATTCCTAATTGCAAACGCCTTTTCTGGTTATAAGGATGGATCGCTTTCTGATTCTCTCTCTCTCTCTCTTTAATAGAAACCCTTGGAAGGAAACGGCGTCTCATCCCACTGTCTCCCACTACACTTAAAAACAGAGAAACGGCACAGGGCGGAAGCTGGCAGTGCAACCAAACCGAAAGTCTCTTTAACACGTCAACCCAAAAGACTCAAAAGGCAAAAGAAAACACGCGTCGGGCGCCTTCGCGAAAAGGCTCGGCCTCCTATCGGCGCCTCGGCTTCCTTTTGGGATCGGAGCAAAGCGGAAAATCCAACACGGCGGAGCGGAGATAGCCGGAGACCCCTCTAGGTGCGATTCAAGGTCTGGAAGATTCGGGAGATCTGTAACATGACCGGCCCGGTTTCGGGGTCGTTCATCCACTGCGTGCTGTTCAAGGGGTTCTCCAGCATGTCTTCGAAAGCTGACGGAGAAAAGAAGAGCGTCAGGTTTCCGAAAGGTGCCCAAATTGAGTCATGAGCCTCGAGCCAAGTTTCAAAGGAAAACTAGGCATTGATTAGGAGCACCATTTTGGCAATACCGTATTGTAGCCGGTAGAGGTTAGTCCCACCCCCCCAATCTTTTTTTTTTTTGCATAATTTTTTTTTATTTTCCATTTTCATAACATATAATCACATGTATNGCCAAGGTTGAGAAACACTGTTTTAAAACCATAGTATCAACTTAAGATAGAAGTTACCAGTGCTTTACAAATGTTGGCCAATGGCACAAAGGCTCTGGAGGAGAAGAATAAACCCCAGTGAGCTCTGCCCCACAACTCCCCAAGGGAAACAAAAAGCTTTTTTAATTCAAGCCACTCTGAAAAAGACCAATCCAGTGGTGATCTTTATTGATATCAACAGATGAAGTTACATAATTCTTCCTACATTGAATTAAAATTTAAAAGCATCACTCTAGGATACCTCAAAAGAATCTTCACCTCCCCAGAATTCGGGTTTGGAAAACCAGCCCAGTTCAGCTTCAGTTAGTTTGGTTGCCAATTTATACGGGGGCCGCCAGGTCTTTTCCACCCCAGAGAAAACAGCCAATCAGAATTCACAAATGGGGAAAAAAAACAAATGGAAGGAATGATGGTTTAGCCTGAACACGGAGCCCACCAGCCCTGGACAGATTGAGGGGAAGGGGGGCTGCTTGCACAACCAACATTTTGGCCTTTAATTTTGGCCCTTGGGATGTATTTTGCACTAGTGGCATGCCGAAACACCAAATTCGTTATCAGGATGGGCCCAAAGCAGGCTTTGTTTAGTGAAGACCATCAGCCCCCTTGTGTACACATTAAGTTTTATTGTAACAAAGCAACTTGTACACGTTTTAACGTTTAAAACTGAGCATCTTTCTTTTTCCAGTGAAACAAAAAAAAAAGTTGGAAAAAATAAACCAAAGCAAGGAACAAAATTACAGTAGAGAATGTAAATTCCAAATAAGATCCTACAGGGGGGGGAGGGGTCGGCTGATTCTCCGTCAAGTGGAAGGGCTGAACTGTAATCATTAGGAGAGAATTTATAATTTCTTTTTTAAAGTGTCATCTTAAACTGCAAAGATGTTTGTTAAAACATCACGATTAAACATGCCAAAAGGAGAAGAAGCCATGTTTTGTCAAAATGCCCATTTAACCCACCCCAACATCTGAAACCCACCCTTTGCTTACCCTGTCTATAACCCCCTCCCCCTTATTTTTTTTTAGCTTTTTCGTATTTTTTTTAAACAAGAGAAATAGACAGATACATGTTGGTAGATGCTAACTGTCCATATTCACATAGAGACACAGTGTAATCTCTGAACCCAATATACAGAGAGAGAGAGAGAGAGAGAAGGGAAAAGCTAGATTCTATGCACTACCACACAGGGGGCCTAGCACTCTGCAGCCTCCAGCTGGAGCAGACGGTTCTCGGTCTTCCCCACAGAACACAGTGCACTGATGCCTGCACTGACAGTTTTTTTTTTCTTTTTCCTTTTTCGTTTCAAAAAACAGGGATTTAAAAAAATTGAAATGGGTCGAGATTCATCTTCCACTGCATTCTGCTCAAGATATTTTTTTCTCCAAAAAAATTATTTTGTGAACCATGGTGAAGAGGAGAAAAGAAAGAAAAGACCTCGGGAGAACAATGCGACTGAGCACAAGAGGGCAGGGAGGGGAGAGGGGAAGGGCGGGGAGGAATAAGACAGCAATTTGCTCCCAGGGACTGGTGGAGGGAAAAGGAAGGATGGACTGTGGTTGGAATCTGTCAGTGTTCAGTCATCTTCTCCTTCATCCTCCTGTGGAGAGAGAAAAAGCAACGTTTTCAAATAAATCTTTGGGTGAAGTAAACCACCCGTCTCTCTTGTTTCCTTCACTTTACGTTCGGAACCAGGGAAGCAAGCAGGAAGGGGGCCCTTTGGACCAACTTGATCTAAGGCTCTTCTTATTACTGGGGGATGCTTAGCGGGGGATCCGTTTCAGGATTGTGAATCCTATGAATGCCTCTCCGGTTCTATTTTGAAGTCCTTTTAGATTACATTAGTACAGCACTGCCAGCAAATATATCACGCTAAAAGATGAACCTGGCCACCCCCCACTAAAAGGAGATTAAAATAAAACCTATTGTGACTGAATTGGGGGGAAAGTTTCAAGATCGAAACGAGTAAGCAGGGTGAAGTGGGCTTTGGCTGTGCAAGCTACGGGAGCGAGATCCTCATCTCAGTGCCTTGGGGCTGTGAGGTCCTCTGGAGCAGCGTTTCCTGACCTCAGCAACTTTAAAGATGTGCGGACTTCAACTCCCAGAATTCTCCAGCCAGGCTCTGGAGCATAATATGACTTAAGTAAAGTAGCAGGTTACACCACCTAGAGGAGAAAAACCATTAACTGGCGCTTATGCAATTTGCCCAGTGGCATTTCTCCCCTACGGTGGCAGCGGTACATCAGTTCATGGCGATAAAAGGAACATTTCCTTCCAAATCCACTCGGGTGCCACAAATAAGCTAATTAGTGCTAATCCAATCCTGTATATATAACTTTTTAATTGCGTGGGATTTAAAAGCAAAAAATTAAATTCCTCCTGCTCGCCGAGCGCGAGTTATGCAACTTGTAACTACAACTTTAGCAGAGGCTGAATTCGAACTCTGAATCAGCCAACGCCAGCGGTCTGGGGAATCTTTAAAAGGCTAGTTCTGTTCTGAGCTTACAAGTTTAGGGCAAGATAAGGTCACTAACTGCCATCTCAAGAGGGAAATCTTAGAGCTCTAACCTCTCCTTCTTCTCCCTCATCATCATCTTCATCTTCCTCACCCTCATCTTCATCACCTTCCTCATCGATGTCCTCCAGGCCTTCCTCCTCTTCGTCGTCGTCGTCATCCTCTTCTCCCTCACCTTCTTCATCGTCCATATCGGGCACCTTGTTGGGCACAAAGGAAGAGTTAGAGCAAAGGGAGCTCGCCCAAGCGCTTTGACCAGCCGCGCAGGCAACGGAGGAAGACCTCCTCCCGGGCGGACGCTCACCAGGTAGTACTGCAGAGGGTTGGGCCAGATGTCGTCCTTGATGACCTCCCCTAGTTCATCGGCCCCCGCATCGGAGTGGTCAGTAAACCAGGTGAAGAAGCTCTCCGGTTCTTCATGCTGCCTCTTTCTGCTGGCCTTGTTCTGCGTCTGGCCGGAGCGCTTTGTCAGGTCCTTGTCCGGAAGAGAGCGGAAAGATCAGTCCTCCCCCGTCCACTTCTTTCCTCCCCACAACTGCTTGGATGCCCATTTGCAACTTGGCTTGTTTATTAGAGAGCTAGCAACTCCTCCCCCCATCAGATCCATCTGATGTTTCTGCTACAACTTGATAGCTGAATTCATCTGCCTCTCTGCCTTTGACCGCCTATCATGGCACAACAGCCAATAACGGCAAAGGAAAACAGAGCTTCGTACTGGGAATAGCTTAAGAGAATCCCAAACGTTGCAGGCAGACATGACCTGCAAGCTATTTTTCTCATCCTGAGAAGAAATAAGGATGGGATCCTGACTCCAGGATCAGCCTGTTGTAGTATCCCACCCTCCATTGCTGGAAAAATGCAATTTTACTGCCCTTAAGGGGGTTTCCTTCAGAACTGTGGCATTTTTACCAGTCTAGTTTTGCCACATAAGGTTGCTGGGAAAAATCACGAATACTGAACGGCCCCAAAGGAAGGCAGCATAAAAGTTTAACAATCTCAGAGTAAACCCATGGAGTTCAATGGGGCAGATTTTTCACCCCCATCATTTCCATGGCCCTGTGACAGGCTGATCATGGCTTCCAATTAAGACCCTCCATTTCATGTTATAGGGTGGGATTTAACCTGACATATGCTGCAAGGATTTTAAGGAACAATCCCCCAAATATTTTATTTCATGTAGTAGTTTGTCTGCCCCAAATTCTAGCCAGAAGAAATGCTGTATTAACATGGTTAGAACCAACATTCTAACCAGAGCAACACAATTACATAAGCAGATGTGAAATAGATAATCCGGCAACACTTTTTCCAACTCTACACGTTTTAATAAAAAGCCGTCAGCTTTTTGTGAGCTTTTGCTACCAGACTCCTGTTTTTTTCTTTTTACTGTTATCTATGGCAATTTTATAGTTCATGAAGTTAAATACCTTCCCAGACTTCCATTTGATTTCGCTGGACTTGGATGAGGGGTCTCCACTTTCGTTCAGATGAAACTCTTTGGAGAGCATCTTGTTTTCAAAATAGGGATTCTCATCAAAATACTGCATTCAAAGGAACAGAGAAAAATGGAAAGTCTGAAATTTACATACCCTATATAGTATAACTTCTGAATTGCTTACCATCTGTACAAAGACTGCACATTTTCCCACCCTGCACAGCCTAAGTGCAGATTGTTGCAGCCCCCCCCAATGACCAACAAGAACCTCAAAAGGGATGCAAAGCATCGATCCCTCCTCTGAAAGGATATTTCGAGACATGCTGCGGAGGAAATGTATTCCGAACAGCAATTTTTAAAAAAAGAGTGTAAAAATGGTGCGTCCTACACCTGTACTTACAAAATCTATTCTGTAACCTGATTTGATGTCCTCAAACTCCGTCACCTCCACTCTGATCAAATAATGCAAGGCTTCTTCATCTTCCTCTCCCAGCAGTGCAGATACTAAGGCAGAGAGATGGAATTTGTGTTACAAATAATTTCAGATGAAGCCACCATCTTATTAACCGGATTGGCTTCTCCCTCAAATGTATGCTTCCCTACTAAATTCCTGCTTAAGTGTTCTAGAACGCTAAGTTTAACAGAAATCAAGGCAATTAGGAGGAGGAACAATATTGGGTAGCTTCACGGCTTTGAGTTATTTATAAAAACAATAACGCTGGGATTAAAATAAAATCTAAAATCTAACTGAAAATAGGAACTAGCTAACTAAGGACCTTTGCATTTCAAGACTTTCACTTGCATGTGATGAAAGATTACAAGTCACTCAAAGAAATTGTTTTGAAAGTTTCCACAAAAACAAACAACTTTGCTTACCTTGTGGGTGGTTGACAAATGTTGTTACCCAAAAGTTGGGGATTTTGGCGATCAATTCTGACCTCTTCTGGAAAAATGGTTGGCGGAGTTTGTTGTATTTCTGTTCTACTTTTAAAATTTCCTCACTGGCTTGTTCGTTCAGTCTGAACACAAGATTTAAACATGTGTAAAAACCTTTATGTGATACTGAAAGCTAGATTATTAAGCAGATTTTAACCCAACATGGAAGCTTTCACTTTGCCAAATCCACACTTCCATCATAAAATGTAACATTTATCAAAGAAAGATTTTGTTTTGGCTTTAGGTAGAAAATCTCAACTGAGAAGTTCCAGTGTACAAAAGAAATGAATTGCGCATTAAACCGTTTTAACTGTTCTGCATGAGAGCTCTTGTTTTGCAGAAATGTTACGATTTATGTCAAAACCTCAAAACAGTGGGTGGAGAAAAAAAACTGAAACAGCCAATTGTGTTACATTGTAAAAAAAAAAAAAAGGGGGGGGGGTTTGGAAGAAAAACTAAAAATTAGTTTTTCTCAACTAATTCCAGGCAGAAGTTTAAGTTTTAAACATTCAAATTCTATATATGAAAACCATCTCTTTAGACTACACCCCATCAAGCTAAGTTATTAAAAAAGTAAACCTATTTGCAATAGAGTCCTTTTACAGGATAGCAAACTAACTACAAAACACTTTTAAAAAGCAGATTAAACACATGGTTTACCTGTCTATTTCATTCTGTACTTCATCAATATGTTCAATTGCTTCCTGCTGCTCTTTGTCTGGCGGGAAAATAAAAAAGTTTATTGATGCCTATCCGAAAAAGGACCCAACTGGGGACAAGGCAATGTTTTCAAACTTCACACATGGCCTCAAGACCTCGCCCCCCCACCCCTCCCCAATCTTTCCCTAAGCGTTCAGTACAGTTGCAATCCGGCTCCCTTAAGATTTTGGCCTTCCCCTTTCGGCAGCAACCCCAAAAGCTCTCCCTGCAGGAAGAGAAGCCCCCCCCCCACTTCAGACTTTCCCTTGCAACAGAAAGAGGATGCCCCCCCCACAGATATGCTCAAGAAGGGAGGCGGGGTCGCTTGCATTCGGCTCACCCCTTCCCCTGGGCCTAGCATCCTGGCCAGGTCACTTTGGGAGCCTTTTCCCCCCCCGGCCCCATCCCACCTAACAGGGTTGTTGTGGCGGGGGGAGAGAAAAACGAGGCTCGACGGGGGAGGAGTTTAAAAAAAAAGGCGGGATTGAATGAAACCTGGCAGATTAAAAAGAAAAAAAAAGAGGCCCGAATGCAGAGCCTAAAACATCTGGCGGCGCCCTGAACCGAAAGAAGAGCCGGCCAGTCCTTCTGCTTCCGGTCCAAAGCCCCCACCCCTGGAGTAGCCCCCCCCCGCCACCCCCAAAACGAAATTTCCCATCGAAAGGCGGGAAAAAAAGAAACCCCTCCCTCCCCCCCTCCCTTGGGGGGAATCCCCAGTAAATTGCGTTGCAGCCCCTGCAGCCAGAAAGGCGCCCCCCCCCACGTCTCCTCTTTGAGGGGGGGGGGGCTGGGGAGGTTAAAAAGAAAAAGAAACCCCTCCCTCCCCCCCTCCCTTGGGGGGAATCCCCAG